TAGTGGTTTAGTGTGGAGGGGACACAGCTCTCAGTGCCCGCTTCATAGAGCTTCGTCCACGACTGCAAATGCACGAGTGCACAACTGCGAGTGCGCCCTGCAAACGTGTAACTGTGACTATACGAACCTCTAGCTTCTGCCACGCTCAATTGACGAGGTATTTATACCGGAATGATAATATCAACACATGTCCTTCTGCCAGGAGAATTAGCTCTTTGTTCTTTTGAGATCCTTGGCTAGCTAAAGTTTAACGATCTTTGAGATACAAAGTTTTAGACATGGATCCTCAAATCGCTGGTATTTAGGACCGTGCACATTCGTGCAAGACCGACATTAGTACTCTACTGTTTTTATCAGGAAATAGAATATATTTAAACAGGAATGTGCTACTCTTAACAGAGCTAATAGGAAAAGAAATATAGGTAATTATAAGAGAGAAATGTATATTTGATATTTGTAAAAGATATATCTATTTTAAAAATTAGACTTAAAAGAGCATTGATATTCAATTATTTAGATATTTCGTGAATGACGAAAGTCATCAATCTTCCCTCCCTCCACAGACAATAGAAATTAACTATCTGCGTATTTTTTTGGTATTTCTCATCGGAGAGATTTAATTGATAACTAATGAGGACCTCGTGCGCTTGTTAAACAAACACACAGTCGACAGTGGGACAGGATTTTGCTACCAAGATTATCATTAAGCAATGTTTGGCTATTACATTGTATTTCGGTACCGATGACATTTTTGCTAAAATTTGGATTGTCTACTTTCAGGAAGAAGAGAAGAATCAAGAGCGACTTCCAGAACTTGTCCAAGACAGCGTTTAACATATTGTTAAGGTAAAGATTTTGCATAATCTTAACAATAAAAGAAAGAGTGAGAGAAGGGAGGACAGGTGAAGAAAATATTTGCGTTGAGATCACAGATATACCAGAATCGATATAAATCGTGTTCAAAGCAATTATTTTAGACCATCCATACATAAACAGAATGATCAGCAAGGTAAATTGTATAATTTGTATTTGCTGTTATAATAATAATAATACTTGTAAATTGTTATTTAGAATTAATAAAACAATGCCCCACGTATCTTTGTTTGCTCTACTTTTTATTTATTTTTTTAATACACTTTAATGTATATATATATATATATATATACACATATATATATATATATATTGGGAGTGTGCATTAATTTTAAAGGATTTTCAAGAGATGGCGTAATTATGGATGGCGTCGCGTCATATTGTTGCTACCTTCATCTTCAAAGTATCATGTAACTTTTTTAGTTTTTAGTATGTGTCATGTTTTGCCGAAATGTAAATAATTTTTTTTTTGAGCATTGAATATGTCGAATTTTGTGCCAACAAAGCGCAATTTGCGGGATTTGCATTTTTTCTTCCATTTGAAGAAAAGTGCTGCTGAAATGAATGCTATCAGAAGCTTATGGTAATTATACTCCATACTCGATTTCAACTTGTGTATTGATTTCGATGCTATAAAAAGTGATTTGGGATGAAAGACAAGAGATAATGTCCAGGCCAGCTGAAAAAGTTTGAAGTTAGAAAGTGAAAACTTTACTCGATCAAAACCCGAATCAAACGCAAGAAGGACTTGCAGAATTAAATGTTGATCGATCAATGATTTCCAGACATTTGAAGGCCATTGGAAAAGCAAGGAAATTGGGTGCGAGTTGCTGTACGAGTTGAAGCGAGTTGAGGGAAAAGTTCTGTGTCTTTGAAGCAACAATTCATAGGTCATTTTGCGCCTTTTGACGCAAAATGACCTATGAATTGTTGCTTCAAAGACACAGAAAAAAAAGTTTTTGTATCGTATCGTGACGGGAGTGAAAAATGGATACGTTACGATAATCCGAAGCGCAAAAAATCTAGTGCAGGCCAGGCAAACCATCGACGACAAAGCCAAATATTCATGGTACCAAGCTCATGCTCTGTATTTGATGGAATCAGCTGGGTGTAATGTATTACGAGCTCCAACCCAATGAAATCATCACTGGGGAATACCAACAGCAATTGATGCAATTGAGCCGAGCATTGAAGCAAAAATGGCCAGATTACACGAAAAGACACGACAAAGTGATTTTCCAACATGACAACGCTCAGCCTGTTGCAAAATCGATCAAGGAAAACGTTAGAAGCGCTTAACTGGGATGTCCTATCACATCCGCCGTATTCTCCAAATATTGCTCCTTTAGATTACCACTTATTTCGATCAATGACTTGTTTGAGCAGCATTTCCATTCTTATGAAGGTACCAAAAAATGGGTTGATTCGTGGATAGCCTTAAAAAATGTGTCATTCTTTCGACGTGGAATCCATCTATTACCAGAAAGATGGGGAAAAAATGGCTAGCGATGGATAATATTTTGAATGATCAATTTGTAATTATTTTTTCAGAATAAAGCCGTATTTTTACCAAAAAATCCCTTAAAATTAATGCACACTCCTAATATATACATATATATGTATATATATTGTGTGTGTGTGTGTGTGTGTGTGTGTGTGTGTGTGTGTGTGTGTCGAAATAAATGTAATTATTTAATCTTTACATCAGTTTTTCATTGTCAAGTATGGAATTAATTAGATGAATAAAGGATAAACAAATGAAGTACAAAGCGAAAAATCTGTATGAGAAAGATAATAATGTATAAATACATAATCACATAAGCTTATAAATTGTATAAAAATATACAATTTATTACATATTACAAATAAATATATGAACTTAATAATAAACAGTCTATGCTAATACTGTATATCACAATCTTCTTCTGATATAAAACAGTTCGTATAACAATAGCGTATTTACTTCAAACCAATTTGCTTCGTAACCTGGATAATAAATAAAATATACATTGTTAATTTAATTAGCTTTACAATTATAATTTTTTATGTAAAATATATTTATTAAATAAATATATAATTCTTATATGAAATTTTAATATTTAATAATAATATTTAATAATAATATTAATTTTTACAAAATTTGAATATTTTTTCGTGTGATAGCTTTATTTGACAATAGATCGATTTACCTGTTCATACACGGTCCAAGCCATAGTGGTCATTAAAGTCCGCCTCAGCATTCTAGGAATGATACCCTTGAAATATCCTAAAATGCCATACTTTTTGTAAATGAAGAATGTTGCATGACAGATACCATGGAATTCATTCGGATACAACTGCATCTTCGTCTTGATAACATCCGGTGGTTGCGTCACTATGGATGCTAAAATTCCAGCCAGGATTCCGCAGCTAAAGTGTACCGATGTCGACGAATTGTTTGTCGCTCCTGCAAACAGAAGAATTTGTTATTGTTCAACGAGATATCGACATATATGCTTAATGTAATCTGATTTTTTTTTATTTAAAATTATAAGGATATCGACAAGTTATACTAACAAAGTCATAAATAACTTCATAATTTTAATGTAAAATATTTTTTTAATATATCGCTTTGAAGAATACCTGTACTGGCAGCCGCGTTTTTTAATTGAGTGTAAAACATGAGATATAAACCACTGTAAGGTGCATCTCGTAGAAGAGTAGGAACTAAACCACTTGATAAACCTTTTATTCCCTCTTGCTTATAGATCAACGTAAGAGCTTCGCTGATACTGTTGTACTTATAAACGCCACTCTGCAGAATACAGAATTATATTTATATAATTGGCTCGAATTTCGTTTTGAAAAAATAAAAAAATATCGAATCCTCAGTTAGTCGAAACTTATGAAATATTTTTAGATATTGTCATGCTATTACAAAAATATATATTAATAACGTTTAGGGAAAAAACTTTTCTGAGTTTTAGAATTTTTCTTTCTTT